ATTCTGGAACTTGTTCATTCTGATGTATGGCAAGCACTAGCTACATTCATGAGTGGAGTAAAATACTTTGTGTCCTTTATTGATGATTACTCCATAAGATATTCGGTGTACCCTATCAAGAAGAAGGCAGATGTGTTTCTCATTCATTAAAACTTATAAAACATGGGTCAAGCTTAAATCTGGAAAGAAGATAAAATGCTTGAGGATAAATAATAGAGGAGAATACACAAACAGTGAATTTCTTATATTTTACAAGCAAAAAGGTATTAAAAGACAATTCAATGCTGCATATACTCTTCAATAAAATGGAGTAGCGGAGCGGATGAACAAAACTATGTTGGAAAGAATAAGAGCAATGTTGGTAACTGTAAATCTGAATAAAGTCTTTTAGGCAGAAACAATAAAAATTGCATGTTATGTAGTGAACTAATCTCCATTAATCGCAACATAGTTAAAGACATCGAAGGAGATGTGGACTGACAAGCCAGCTGATTATTCAAATCTCTATATATTTAAAAGTCTAGTGTACATAATGTACAATGTCGAAGAAATTATAAAGCTAGATTTAAAATTTAGGAAATATATATTCTTAGGGTATACTGATGGAATAAAGGAGTATCTCACTGCCCACAAGTTTATTATCAGCACAGATATTATCTTTATAAAGAACCAATTACAAAGAGAAGAAAAAGAAAGCAATTCAAAGGACATAGAAACTGTTGCTGCTTAGATAGAAAATAATCTAAATTATTTTAAAGCAACACATGAGCATGATGTATAAGAAATAGTCGAGTCCGAGGCTCTAGAAGTTCGAAGATCAACTCGTGAGAGAAGTCCACCGACTTGACATCAGAGTATATTACGGAAAGTAACATTGCATACTATCTTCATCCAAAGGATGGAGAGCCATTAACTTTTTCATGAAGCTATAAATAGCACATATGCATCTTTGTGGATAGCAGCAATGCAGGAAGAAATCGAAGCTCTCCATAAGAATAAAACTTGGATACTTGTGTCACTATCCCAAGGAAGAAAGACCATTAAAAATAAATGGGTCTATAAGATCAAGCGAAATAAAAATGATCAAGTAGAGATCATGATAGATTGGTGATAAAAGGATATGCTCAGAAATATATTGACTTTAATGAAATATTATCTTGTAGTTTGACTTACAACAGTCTGAATAGTCCTCGCTATGAGCGTTATATTTGACTTACATCTAGAACAGCTAAATGTGAAAACAATATTTCTTCATGTAGATCTTAAAGGATAAATTTACATGCTCCAGCCAAAATGTTTTGAAGAAAAAAAAGGAGAACTTGATTTGCATGTTAAACAAATCTCTGTACGATTTAAAGCAGTCGTCGAGGTGTTGGTACAAGAGATTTGATTCATTCATCATGAATCTTGGATACAACAAACTTAATTCAGATCCTTATGCATATTTTAAGAGGTTCGGTAAAAATAACTTTGTTATTTTATTGTTGTATGTTGAGGACGTGTTAGTTGCAGCCCTCAACAAAGATTGTATCAAAGAATTGAAGACACAATTGGCTAGTAAATTTAAAATGAAGGATTTAAGATCTGTAAACAAGATTCTAGGGATGTAAATTTACCAAGACAGAATTAATATGAAGATTTAGCTTTCTCAAAAGAATTATTTAAAGAAAATCTTGTGGTACTTCAACATGTAAGATTGTAAGTCAATTTCTACCCCACTTGAGTTAATTTTAAGTTATCCTCCAGTATGAGTCCTAACAATGAATAAGAGAGTATGTAGATGTCTCGAGTACGGTATGCATTAGTGGTAGGAAGTTTAACGTTCGCTATGATTTGTATAAGACCAGACATTACACAAGTAGTGGGAGTAGTTAGTCGATACATGGCGAATCCTGATAAAGAGCATTGGGATGCTGTAAAGAGGATCCTAAGGTACATCAAGGAGACCTCAGATATTGCATTATGTTATAGGGGATCAAACTTTATTGTCAATGGATATATTGATTCTGATTATTCAAGTGATCGTGATAATAGCAAATCTACCACATGCATGTATTTGTACTTGCTGGCGGGGCTATAAGCTTGGTTTCAAAACTACAGTCAGTTGTGGCTACATCAACAATAGAAGCAGAATATGTTACATCTACACAAATTAGTAAATATTCAATATGGTTAAAAATGATACTGGAGGAACTCGAGCATGATCAAAAGAAGATTTTTCTATTTTGTGACAGTTAGAATCCTTTGCATTTGGTTAAAAAAAATCTAGTTTTTATTCAAAGACGAAACACATTCGAGTCCAGTACCACTTCATTCTTGAGAAAGTGGAAGAAGGAACAACAGATATGTAGAAAATTTACACCAAAGACAACCTAACAGGTTTTTTGACAAAGACAGTCAGCACTAACAAGTTTTTTTTGTATCGGTCCTCTTGTGTTCTGACGGAGACGTAAGCAACATGAAAATGGTAAAATAGAAAAATGGTGTGAAGATATGATTGATACTCAATCAAATCTTCAAGTGAGAGATTGTTGAAAGCGACAACTACCAAATATTAGGCACCGTTTTTTTAAAATGGGTTTGGCACCATTTGAGAAACGAAGTAAAGAAAATATAAAAAATTGATTCATATGCCTATAAATAGGCTCAAAATGTTATGTGTTTAAAACAATAACAAAATCCAATCTCCACATATATAGAAGTGAGAGAAAAATAGAGAGTTTCTCTTTGTAAAAAGAGATTGTAACTCCTAAAATTTTCTTATAGTTGATGCTTCAATTCTTACCCGTGTTTTTTATCCCAAAATTTTTAGGGGGTTTTCACGTAAAAATATGTGTATCCAATTTATCTTTTTTGCAGTAACTTTAGCTGCGATCCTACTCTATCGGACCCCAATTTTTCCCAACAACGAATACATTAATAATCTATGTATGGATCAATAGGAAAATGATTTAAGGACCCAAAATATGGGACCAAAGGAGAGGACAGGTGAGGTGTCACATCCCTATTGCATAATGAGTTGGCCATGTCAACTCATGCCAACTCATTATGCAATAGGGAGGAGACACCTCACCTGTCCCCTCCCTTGGTCCCATATTTTGGGTCCCCGTAGCAGCACTCGGATCAATAACTCTATAATCTATGTATATGAGGCACATCATAAATACTTTGAAAAATCTCAGAAATGCGTTGAGAACGATCTTTTTAATTCATGCTATGCTACTACTAAATAATTCTTTTAATCCAAGGTAGCACGATGCGCAGTCCAACTAATTTGTATCTTCCGAGCTTTTATCGCGGAGAAAAGTGAGGCTGAATGCTTGTGGTCATCGAGAACTGGGCCTTGGGTCATGTTGGATGCTGCCAAGTTTCATGGGCCGTTAGAGGTTGCGCTTAATTAGGGATTTGGCTTACACACATACCTATCCACACTCCGCACTTGTAATAGTGAGATAGCTAAATTTTCTCCAAAAAAAATGTTCGAGGTTTTGCAATCTAACCCTGCGTACTCTTACAAATGTTTATAGATGTAGTTTGTTAATAGGAAAGAGTATATAACTGGTATTTATAATGCTGTGATTACATAGAGTTTAAGACCTAAAACAAACTAGAAATTTGCATGGGCCTCTACGTCTATGCATCGGCATATGATGATCAAGTCGTAACTCCGTTAAATGTTATAACTCCGTTACACACAAAACGCTTCTCCTTGTATACGCTGCAATATATCGTCATATGATCAAGTCATAACTCAACCAAATGATGCAAGTGCTTCTCCTTATGATGCATGCCAGCAAGTATCAATGCCTAAAATCAAGCAATTAACCTTATGAAATCAACTTTCCATACATCTGATCATATCCAAGTTTAAGGCAATCTCGAAATTAGGGCTATTACATCGCTTTGACGGCAATCTGCTAGAGATTCAGAATGCACTTTGTCGATGGGTGTGGAATCAAATTAGGGTTTCTTATCATCTTATAGTTCCATCCTACACACGCATTCATTTCACTTCACATAATATTTGACTCCTTCATTTCCATTTAGGGTTTCTCTCACATAAAGGGAACTCCTTTTAGGACACATTCCACAAAAAAAAAATAAAATAATAATAATAAATAAATAAATAAATAAATAAAAAAAAAAATCTTCCTGCTAACATAATCAAAATTGAATAGACAAGATTATTCAACGAGGAAATTCGTAGAACTGATTTTCTCAAACTCAATGAAGTTCAAGAAGTCTACCAACCACTCCGAGTACAGAGAGAGGGTAGAGACAGAGATATCACTATTCTTATTGGGCTGGTCCAAGCCCAATAGTAGGGAGGCCTTTTAGGCCTATCCTCCAACGAGTCCAATAGCAGGGCATTACTTGAGCGCGCCCCACAAAGCCCATGACATCCCCTGACCTGACGGGATTATAATCACGTGATTTTAATTACACTCCCATGAACTTTCAGCCTTCTAGAGTAAACCCCCAAGAAGTTTCATAGTCGCACAAGACACTGGATAACTTTTGAAGAAAGCCCCCAGTTTCTTTTGGGCAAATTACACAAAACCCCCCAATAAATTTCAAAATGCCTTGTTAAGTTGTTGTTTGGTTCTAATTTATGGGGGGTTATCCACAAAACTCAAAAACTTATTGGCGATTTTCCGCAAAATGCAGGAGTATCGGAGGTTTACTGCAATTTGCAGATCTATCGGGGTTTTAATTAACTGGAAAACGCTGAAAGTTCTTGGGGGTTTAGTGTAATTTACCCTTTACTTTTCTCAAAATTTCCCAATGTCTAAACAATTGAGTAATATTCTTCACACACATTAAAGCAAATAAAATTGCTTACTATAAACAGAGGGCGAAATATTAGCACTAGGAATAATGATGTCCCAGATTCAATGATCACTAGCCCAAAATTATAACAGCAGGCTGATAACCATTTGAAGGATCATAAGCTCAAAACTATGATCAATTCAGCTAATAAGCTAATATACTGGCGTACATATACAAGTATAACCAAATAGATTGAAGAAATGCAAAGTAGACAACAGTAAAATGATCTGAAGAAAAGAAGTCCATACAGAGGGCTGAGCCAGATGAATGCTATCTAATAATTACCCTTTTGGCCATAAAAAAAAAGAGAGTACATAATGATACATATAGAAAAAGGGATCTCCCTTGTTTCCTTCACTATCAAAATTGGTTAACAGCCTGCAGCTCTGAGGAAGTTGTCGAATGGGTTTGAGGCAGGGAGTCGAATGCATTGGGCTTCGTACTGGTATTCCGTTGCACACATTGTCATCATATTACCAGTGGGTTGCGGGTTTTGGTTCTGGCTCCCAGTGAAGTAGTGATCGGCAAATGGATTTACACCCTGCAATTTTACAGGTATGTCACAGAGCTTAGATAAATCCTCCATTTTCAATATGATAATGAAGAAATGGGGTAAATTTCATAAAACACCTCCTCCTTGAGAGGCTTTCACGTGGAAAAAAAACTTGAATTTTCAAAGTTATGCTAAACCTCTAAACAATGATTTATAAAGCCTTTCTTTTTTTTTTTGGTTTTTTTTTTGGGTGGTTTGGGTTTTTTTTTTGGCCCGGGGGGTGGGGGGGATGGGGGGGGATGCACACACAGAACATGCACAAACATGCTCATATATACAATCATGTCAACTTAACTCCTCACTGGAAGAATTTGAAAGAAAATTATTTCCATTCAAATTCAATACTTAAAACTGAAAATTCATGCACATAATTATGAGTCTCTTACCTATGCGTCAAAAGATCAACATCAGAGGTAGCATGGTGCTTATATCTATGGTTCTAGACATGCATACTGATATTCCAAATATTTTATCATGATCCAGACGTTATGAAATCTGCAGGCACCAGCTTTCATTAGGTTTATAAGGTCCTTAGACCATTCATTTTTTGTGCATACTTGCAAAGGCAAGAAAATACAAAAGAATGTAATTTTGTCCTTTAGACTTTCTAAATAAGTATTAACCCAACTTAAATGGAGTATATCTTTATTTTGATTTTACTCTCACTAAATCTAGATGGTAGGAACTCCTCTCTCTATACACACACATGACACATTTGGGTGTGTGCATGTCGTACACTTATGTTTATGCATGTTTATATATGCATTTTTGCATAAATGTGCATGGGCACGCACACGCGCACACACACAGGTGCTTTTGTATGTATTTCACCATGTGCATGTCTATGTACGTAGGGTATATGTGCATGTGAGTACCAGCATAAACAAGAATGTATTGTTTTTCCTAAGGCAAATATGCACATGTATAGTTACAACTTACACCCTGAGTCACATAATTCACGAATTAATGGTGAAAGAAAAGCATGAATTAGTTTGTTGTTCTCGATTTATTCGATGCATATGTTTAACCCACAAGACTTGTATTTTATTTGCAGAATTATGCAAACTAATTGCTAGCAGGGAAATCACCTAGATTATAAGAGGTATGACCTGTACAAGTTCCCAACAACCAGACACTAGTTTGTCACTGTTCATTTTATTTTATTCACAGTACTTGGTAGTTTATTCATAGTACTTTCCCGCTTTTGTACACAATCAGTCTGTATATGAGCTATAGTAAGCTACTCAAACGTTATCTTGAACAAATCTATTTATATATATTTCTTACCCTGCACTACAATCAAAACTTCAAATTGTTTAAATAGTTCCTGAAGGCCAAACTCATAAACGTTGCGGACTTATTCCGGTATTTGGAATTCGTAACTGGTCTCAGAGATGACATCAATTTCCGATAGTCCCTTTTTTGAATTATTTATCCAAAAAAATGAAGAAATTTGTATGCTGAGGAACATGCTCTTTTTGTTCTCCAAGATTCTAGCCATGCCGTGCAATAATTGTAGAGTTTTGTACCTTTTGAACCTGGTTTTCAATCATGGATGAAGGCTGTGTTGTTTCACTTGTTCCAGTAAGAGATACGTCTTCCTGGTCTGGGACGCACATGAACGAAGACATCTTCTGCTGTTTTCCCACTATAAGTTTCTCACAATGGTTAGCCATTTCTTTGTATGATACACCAGGAGTGGTTGACACTGAAAATCTTCCGCCTTGCCATGTCTTTTCTCTTCATATTTTGTAAAAAAAATTCACAGCCTAATGACCATGAAATAGTGTCTTATTCATTTCCAAGTTTCTCTCTTGCATATAATTAAGTTTGAAAGACAGCAGATTGGGAGAACATACCGTTTCTAGAATCTGACTGATGCCAAGAAGAAGTGATGAATCTATAGGAAACTCTGGTTGGGGATCTGAGGCATGCTCAGATGATTCTGTTGCAACATCATCATCAAATGAGATGAGCGGAGGCAAATCCTGTAAATAAGCATCAACATCTTTAAGAGTGGAAAAGTTCAAATGAACATCTGGAAACAACAAAGGAAAAATACCTTCACATAGTTTATTTTATCTTTATTATCACTTTGGACATGTATATGTGCTTCGAACTGCAGACCACTTAGGCATATATTTTCAGGCACAAAGTCCTCCAACAGCTGCTTTCTGATGGTAGATTGATCCAACTGCAGATTTGCAAAGGACCAACAATGGAACTGATAAGAAAAGGAACCAGATTCAATATGATGCTTTATGAAGGAATAGAAGGACTTACATCTGGTGAATCTCCTAAGCTGTTTACTATCAATGAAACCAAGGTGTTCTTTGACTGGCTATCAGTTAGTTCTACTACTGCTGAGAGAGATTGCAGGGCAGCATCGTCATCCTCTTTTGACCCATAAGTCTTAACATGATGGTCATATGCAGTGCTTGCAACATTTAGCTTGCTATCTTCAACCAAACAAAGAAATGGATCCATCTGGTAAAGAAAATTGACAATCAGCTAAAATTAGACTTGGAGTGCGAAGATTTGTTATAAAGTAAATATTTGTGAGTGGACGGTGTAAGATGTTAAACATTGTGATAATTATATTCAAAATTTCAGAACTTAATTTGACTGTTGTAAGGCATAGTTAACATGCTTGGGATTTTAGGGAACAAATAGCTGATAAATGTGGCATGGTAAGCAAAGTTGGAAAGCTAAATAGATCCTAAGAAATAAGTACTGAAATTTTGGTTAATTGCTATCGTCGATTGGGATGAAACAGTTGTTGCATTTAAACAGCCATGATGTAAGTTTATTAGACCAGACTGACTACAGCTCAACAAAAGATGTTCAGGGAGTACTAAGCTACCTCCAGTTAAATTACAAGCATTAAGGCGCATCACTTTTTTAATTTAATTTCATCATGGACATAGTGTTATTTATATAATTATATTTCTTAATATTAAATCTGTCACAGTTCCAAGTCTTAATATTGTAAATATAATAGAAGCGGAGCATCTGAATTCCAACCATGTATGAAATAAACTAGTTAACTTCAAAACAACCAAGTAATTCATACCGTTTTTTCATTGAGTGATGACTTAACAATTGGAATAAGTGGAGCAATGTTGAAAGCTTTGGAAGAAAAAACCATCATAGATGTCGACAACATAAAGAGAGACCTGCGGCGAGATGGTGCCAGTGAACCTATGGATATGTCAAATAAACATCGATCACGGGAAATGTTATCAATAAAAGGAACACATAAAAAAAATCTCGCATTAACTAGGTTAGCTTACATAATTTTTTTTCTTGCTATAAACAACAATTGACTTTCTAACATAGGATGTAAGGTTTGAGATAGATTTAGGTAGACAGCAGGCCAGTTCCATTTTCTAATCCCAGCTACTCCACAACCAACCCCATAAAAAGTGAAAAAAGGAGGCAAGTATATAATAAACTAATATAGGTTGACGCACAGATAAAAGTTTAGTTTTATTACAAAGATGTCCCACATGATAAGCTTGCATGTGATTGCGTAGCGAATATCTCCATTGGTGTACGTCAAATGCATCAGTTTATAATAGTGAGAATATACAGTACATTTGGGGAAAAACTACAATTCCGATTAATGAAAGTTTAATACATCTAGATGCCATTCCATTACTTCTGCATGCCTAGATGGAAACATGTTTTTCTTGTAGATATTTGGATATAAATAAATATGATTGCATAGATTGATGAGGTTGTGGCGTAACTTTGTCTCACTCCATTTAAAGCCAATAGTTGCGCATGGTTAATTACATGAAAGTGGTGTTAGCCATTGTTGGCCTGAAAGAAATGGGTTTGTTATTGACTGGCAAAGGTGTTTGAGTTGACATCTTTTAGAATGACGAGAATCTTCCAGACATTGCACCACAAAAGAAGGATTCGAGTTTCACAGAACACCAACCAAGAGATACTTTTTCAGATAATAAAATTTCATAGTAGATATTCATTTCTATAAAAGGTAGATTGCCTTAAGTTGTTCAGTTGATTATTTTCTAATTTCTATTAATTCCTTTCTCACATAGTTCCAGTTCACCTACAAGCAAGAGTTGCAACTTACTAGAGATGAGAGAAATTTGTTAGGATTTCTGCTTACTGACTCAATTAGGGGTTCTATTATGGAAGTATATTTTCTTGTATCCCTACAGAAACATAAGCGTGTGTTCCAATTAACACTTCAAAGAGAAATCATGCACCTCAAAGTCTAAAGCATTTATGACATAGTTTCTACTTATTTTCTTTTTCATCAGTTCTCATACTTCAGATATTATTCATGTACTATAGCAGATGACAGGCTCTGATGCTCTTTAAGTCTGTTTCCCTGGTGAATATTACTATGTCGTGCCATACATGAAATTGAATAATTCACTGGCTGTATAGAAGCAAATGCTTCTCCTGTAGTCTACAACAATATGCCTGATCCCTTGTTGGTCAGACAAATTTTTTTGTAACAATAAGATATGTTATACTAACATCCAACATGCAAGGTTTTTAATATCGGATATCGGGGAAATATTGGATGGTAAAAATTCATATTGGACTGCTGATATCATGGAAATATCAGGGATATATGGTAAATATCGGAATGCCATAGCGGATGTTTGCATATATAATATAATGCAAAAATGTGATCTCAACATACTTCATGAAATAATATATGTTTGCATATATAATATAATGCAAAAATGTAATCTCAACATACTTCATGAAATCTAAGCATATAAAATATAAATAATATATGTTTAGGATCACTAATCAACCTTGTAAAATTAACAAAAGTACAAATCAATATTGCAACATTTGGTCTGATATTTTTTAGGACAAAATGTCATTTGATATAATGAGAATATCATGATATCTCGCCAAAAATTGCCAAACATGGCATATTGTTTTGTGACTAGTCATATAAAAGGATATATTGGCCATCATATTAGCTGATATATTGGCCATATTGGGGATATATCGCCCAAAATAACCAAAAATAGTAAAAGGATATTTAGAGACCATATCGGTTATTGCAAGCCCCGTAAAAGGATATACCGAGCGATATACCAGGCCATGTTGGGAATATTTAAAACAATGCCAACATGTCATCCCAATGTTATGGCATAGCACTTGCTTGCTGAAAGTTTCCTTCTATATGTAAAGCCATAAAGGCAAAGGGAATGAATGAACAAAAATCTGATTCATAGGGAGTTTATAATGGCAATCTCATTTCCTAGACTTTGAGCAAGATAATGAGGTAAAACAACTATATTGGTGTTGATATAATAAAGAGAATTATTTTATAGAAACAACAAGATCCTGGCCAGAAATTTTGCATGCATTGTATCAATCCTTGTCCCGTAGGATTATCTATTAAAATCATAAAACCAAGTTTCAGCAAAATATATCGATATACAAGCTTACTCTCTCCTCCAAGTGAAATGCTCCTCAAAGAAAATGCAAGCTGAAAACTTCTTGTTAGAGACTCATGCATCGAGGTCTGGGACATTGCAAAGAGAAAGATTGATAGAAGCAGTTAATATTAATTAGTTTACCATAAACTAAAGTTCTATGAAACATTATGTGATACAAGATGGGAAACTCAACAAAAGGAAAAGTACCCACGCATTGACCACATGAAATAAAGCCACGAGGCTTGGCTCAGGGGTAAGAGTGGAATTAGTTTATGGGAGGTTTGAGATCAAGAATGGGCCACTGTAACAAATAAAGAGCCTATACATTTTTCTATAAATTGATTTCAGTTGGAATGTAGATATGTTTCTCTGGATTGAATCATTGAACTATAAGCTGCATGTTAAATCTACCAATTCAATTAGACAAATGGTTGCTAATGGAAATGATCTAAACCTGCATGTATTAATACATGATCATGCTTACAAACAGCATAGATCAGCTCACATAAGATCAGGCACTCCAACACTAAGACATTAATTCAACTTGATAAAAGCTACAATAAAATATGCGCTCAGTATTAATACATGATCATGCTTACAAACAGCATAGATCAGCTCACATAAGATCAGGCACTCCAACACTAAGACATTAATTCAACTTGATAAAAGCTACAATAAAATATGCGCTCAACTTGTCTATTTTTCTCATTTCGAAGTATAAAACTTTCAAAAACTTTTATGTTTAAACTACACCGGGATAGATTGTGTCAGTGACTGATCAGTCAAAATCAACTTGCACGTTTTCAAAGTAGAAGTGCAGTACAGAGCTGTGAAAGAATATAAATTGGTAGTATCATAAACAATACAGAATCATGTAATGTGCTATTCACTTGCAGCGTTGTACTCATATGGCACAGAATGTCACCACGTTCCAGGCGAACTATGAATTACAAAGTTATTACTTCAATGTTAAAGCAAAGAAGTCCGTATAACTAAAATTAAGCTTTGAGTGCAATGCAATTGAGAACAGTTTACTAGAAAAAACGAAAATGCAAGCAGAAATAAGTTGTAAAAGAAGAAATTTACAAGGCTTAGAAATAATTCATATTTACCTTAGTTCGAGAAAATAACAATAACAACCCATATGTGTGAGCAATAGCTTCATAGTTTTGAGGAATATTTTCAGGTGACATGGCCTGTACCCATATAGATGAAAGCAGAAGCGAAATCTGCCGGCCACTTAATCTGAGGGGAACAATGTCCTGCATATAATGCAAGGAAAAGTCAAGCATTGGTGATGTGTTGTAGAGGAAAATAACGAAGCTGGGTTACAAATTACAACTACAAAGCATTCATGCATATACCACTTCTTCGTTCTCAGACAAATTTTGTTCTGTAGTTGGTGGTAATTGAGGGCCTTTCACGCTATACATTCGACTTTTAGACGACTGTAGCCTTTTAATACTAAAAAATCGACTTTTGGAAGATTGCAATCTGGGAAGTTTGGGATCATTGCTGCTCTTTAGTTGTCCATCTTGACCTTGGGAGGCTTCTCTAAAAGAGGACTTATCCCTCTTTAACTTTTGGAAAAGAGCAGCTGAAGATGAGAAGACTGATGTGGTCCTTGAGAGTGTTCTTTGAAGATCATACTTGGCTAATTCTGGAGCATCAGAGAGATGAGGAGATACAGAAGAAGGAACAAGAACAACAGAGAATATACGGTGTGCCCCTAAACGTGTTTCATGATCTGGATGGACCATTGCTACAAGCAGATGATGAAAGAGTGATTCAGGAAAAGCCTGCATCATGTCGTTTTGGATAAAATGATTCTCAAGAAATATACTATAACGATCTTATATGCTATCAATTATCAAATGTAGGAAAATTGGCTAACCTTATTTTGATAAGACAAGTTTGGTACTGATGCCATTATCTGGGCAGTCCGGTAAACTGCAGCAACTGTTGCCCTAGCGGCTGACACTGTGTAAGAAATATTCTCCAACATCACAGCCATCATATCAAGTACTGGTCCCCCATCACCAACCTGATTTAGAGGCAAAAGATACGATAACTCTTATCAATCATATTCACTGCTTGTATGGAGGAAAGAAAACCGCACCGTACCTCATTATAAAAGGTGTATTATCAATGAGCATAATGATGAGGTATCTTATTTCTTACTATGTGGGGGAAGAGATGGTATCCCAAAACATTCTTTTATTGCTTGGTTAGTAGCATTGAGAAAAATTAGAACTAAAAAGTGGATGGATCAATTTGGTACTTTACAGGAGAGTAGATGTTTTTCTATGTGCTTCTGAAAATGAAAGTAGAGACCACTTGTTCTTTCAATGTGCATATTCTCAGGGGGTCCTAAGGGTTGTTCTTCAAGCGATGAAATTAAGAACTCCTATTAGAGCTTGGCCTCTAATTTTTGAGCAGTTTCAGAAGATGGTGAAGGGGAGAAAGTTGCAGAGTAGCGCTAGAAGAGGATCACTATTAGCTAGCATTTATAGAATTTGACAGGAGAGGAACTCTAGGGTTTGTAAGGCTGAAGCTCACCCTCCAAGTTGGATTGTGAATAATAGTATAGCCGACATGAAGCATAAGCTGAGTAGGCAAGTGTATAAGAGATGACTTGTATGCTATACTGTATAGGCTGGTTTATCCTTGTTAATATTCTTAGTTGTGGCATCAATTGGAGTTGTTAAACCTAGGAATTTCTCGGTATAACTGTAAAGTTTGTTAGAGCAAATAAAATTCACTCACCTTTACTTAAAAAAGATGTAGTTTTGTGCATTATATAAACAATGAAGGTATGCTAAATTAACTCAAGTACAATCTACTGGAAAGCCTTTAAAGCTTTCCCAAAGACAAAAGTATCCAGTTTACAAGAAAAATGCAACAATTTTATGTTTGGAGTATCAAGAAATACCTTTTTAGATAACTGAACGAGGCACTCATCTACTGCTATTCTGAATTTACTGATCAATCCATCCCCTGGGTCTTTATCATTGCACGAGCTTTGCATGGTTCTCCGCAAATGCTTAACAAGATCAGTCATGGCACCAATTATTGATGGTGAAATCTGCACTTTTGATTGCTTGGAAAGATTGGTGGTAACTTTGACTATATCTAGCTGCATGTCGGGCTGTTTTACAACAGCTTTGTGATCAAGATGTTTGACCAATATGGAGGTTAACAAATGTGTATTCTGCCCTGTGTAAAAACGCAAGTCAATTTAAACAAAGGACAATGATATGAAATGCAATCAAACATAGAATACAATTTTGATATACATTGCAAATTCTTACCAGACTGCTCCATTAATAATTGCATGTCCAATAAGACACAAAGAGCAAGCCCTTGTTTAGGTGACCATGAATTGTTATTATCAAAATAGCGAAAAAGGGACTCCAAAACCCGCCTTACAGTTGTAGCCTCCTTGGCTAGATTGGCCGTATTATGTACACAAACCCTGGACCAAAAATGGGAACTCTTGGCTTCATCCCTGTAAAGTGAAACTTTTAATGAGGCTTAGAAATTCAGTTACAATTGCTACAAAGAATAATCCATGCAAGAAAAAAGAGACTAAGGACAAAGTCATACGTGGTCAAATTCAGTTCTCCTTTGTCATTTACAATTTCTTTCCAAGTTGGAATCTTTGTCAAATTCAGTTTCTTTTGAGGCTGATCATCATCGACAGCATCTTCTGATTTCTTGGGACCTTCATAATTTTCCAAGATTACTGAAACGACCTGTAGAGTTCTAAAAATAAATAAGTAAACTGCAATAAACTAAAGAGAATTTATCATCATTAAGTGGAAATGAAATAAGGTACTTTCTTTGACGAATTGTTGTGCCAAGATTGAAATATATCTCAACTTTCTCTCTCAAAAAAGAAAAGGACATGAGTAAGCAATGGGCAACTATAATTATTCTGTCATTGACAAGATGAAAAGAGAACATTACAGCATAAGTGACAAACTTTGACATGGCAAGTTACAAGTAAGTATGATATGTGCTAAACATTTGAGAACCGGAAATGGACAGACAAGTGATACTTGAGATTCAAAATCAACAATCAGCAAAGGTGGATACAAGAAGCAATAAATTAGATCTTCACGTCCAACCCAGTATGAAAAGTATTGTTTTCATTTCCTATTCACATTATGCATCACATACCATATTGCTAGGAAGTCTGATTTTATGCTACCATATTACTAGGAAGTCAGATTTTATGCTAGTACATGTATTGGCTACAGATGTACATAGAAAAATAAGATTATGCATTCTACCATATGAAATCTGCAATTGACCCTTAAAAGTAACTCATTCTAATTGTTGAGTGTTTCACAAGATATACCATGTACAATACAACTTAAGGCGAAGGAAAGATGCATCTAACTGAAAGTACACTGAAAGAGGAAAAATGAAAAGAATCAGTTACGTCTTACATTGTCAAATTCTGTTGATATATGAGAATACTCCCCCATGAACCAAATCTGTGTATTATGATTAAGAAAACAAAAGCATCAGTACAATAAAGATATGAAAGCTAAAACATAAACTTAAATGTTGAGAGACAAGAACTGATAGGCTATGGATATAATATCTAACAAATAAAGTAGATCCCTACAGAATATACCCTACTGGATAGTAGTGATGACTTTGTACAGAATCCACAACTTAAGCTAGGCAGCATGATCAAATGGTGAGTTTTTTAGGACAGTATCAAGTGCACCGGCTAACCATTTTATAAGGCTATCAAGTGCACCGGCTAACCATTTTATAAGACTTTGTACAATGCATTCCATGTATCAAGCGCAACCTTACATCTCTTTGAACATAAACTAGAAAATGGGGCATGACTATTACACCTTCCGTAAGCATTCTTAATGAACCTCATATCAAAAACACTCGTCATATAGGGAACGTACTCATGCATGTGCATATGCACACAAAAAATATGCAGAAAAAGTACCCCAAATTCCTCTTGCCTCAGTTGCCTGCACTATAGACTACAATAAGACACAATTGGAGAAAGCCCTAATGAATTTTTTTGTAACAAGATGGATCAAATATCTTATTTAGTTAAACCCAAGTCCTGCTTTTACCAATCATGAATTCATGATACCTCTTTATGTAGTATATCCACTATCTTAGATCATAAAGTTGAAAACAGTATAAAACAGTAATATTTCTGGTTGAAAGCTGAGGTCTCTCTTTATTGTTTTTTAAGCAAAACTGTTACAGTACCATTTAAATAGAATCAAATAAGGTCCATAAAGCAAAAATGCCATTCACACAAGTATCCGGCGATTAACAAACGACAAACCATACTATGCCTTTTCTTTAAGGTTTGAAGTACAGTAAGGAGGTAAGGTAATAGAAATATTAAGTTATTTATTTTCAAAAAATATTAAGTTGAGATAGCTACCATAGAAGAAAGAGCTTGCAGGCCTGCTGCACGTAAATGATGTGACTGCTCATCCTCCCCAATCTCTTGAGATAGTTGACAGAGTTTCGGAATCAAGGCTTCCAAGTTGAATTGATAAGTGCCATCAATCTAGAATGTGTAAATAATTCAGTATAATCTTAGTCTAGCGTGCATTTCCTTTAAGAACTAGATCTATACTTAAAAGTTGTATCGTACAATACCTGACAATTTACAAAATCAAAAAGTGTATGGCATCCTATAATGCGAATTCCATCCTGTCTTGTTTGATCCAAAAGAATTTGTGTGATGCTTAATAAGCTACTTGCAAATAATGGCCTGTCATACATTGAGCCCGTCATATCCATCAACCAACATGATAAAAAGGAATACTAAATATCATAAGACTGGAAACAAGAAACAGCAAAAGCAAGAGGAAATTTAAATCAGAGATAGAGATGACAAATAGACGTCAACTAAGGATCTCAAGGAAGTTTCAAAAATCAATATTGTATTTAACAGAAAATTCCACAATAGACATACATGCAAACTTACACTCAACAAATTTCATGAATTTCAAGCAGCTGGCATATCATAATCAACCAGGGAAGAAGTAATATATATCAATTAAATTATGTCGCCTATAATTCCATAAAAAAATCAAAGGTAACTTGCTTCTGACTGCAATCAAATGAGTACTGCAGGTGGTGCATAACCAAGCATATAAGAGGTGAAATCCAAACGCATTGTTCTCTAAATTCCATAACCAGAAACTATCATGAAAACGGTCTTGTGAGCAGACAAGCTGAACTGTAATGCGCATTAGCTGAGGAAAGTTGTCATGGGCTGGAGGAATTCTTATGGAAATATAAGCTTAACATCCTTAATGTCCTCTAGAAATGAAAATGTCTCAAAGGAGACAACAGATATGGTTGAAACATGTAACAATATAGTAATCCCCAACAAATCAGAAGATTATAAAACAGGTTATACGCATGTCTACTCATCCGCTTCTAGTCCCACCCTAGATCTGATTTCTACTTTGCATTCTAACCCAGGCCTTATATCTAGACTCTTTTTACGAATTATCTACATATTAGTGCAAAATCCCTTCACCTATTGATTAAGGCCTAATAATTGTGGAATCTATTGTTATATTTGATCCACCAAAAATTGTTGTTAAGCCTACTAGACTTGAACTCCCTTGACGCAATAACACTGCACTACAGATCCTATACCCTATAGCTGATACTCCAAGAAATAACTGGATTAGAAAAATTTATGCACAACAAGAAGAAAAACTTTCTGGGTCCTAATTTTATGGTCAAATCCCTATGACCAGTATCCTCTCTTTGCCCAGCAAACATATCTAGTTGCAGATTTTGGAGACTTCAAACTTGTCTAATTAACCAATAAAAAATTATTCGTTGATCTAACTTCCTCAACAGTCAAATTCTGTTGGCAACGTATGCAATGTCGCATATATCAGAAAAGCCTTTCCATAGATCTCAGTCAGTAGCAAAGAAATAGAACATATAATATAAGAAATTTACCAACCACAGTTGGCTGTGTATTTCACAGACAAGAGGCATTAGTATTTAAACAGTAACTTAAGTTAAAATATAGTAGCAAGCAGCAACAGAAGAGTTACTTATTTACAAACTCACATTTGCTCTCTGCAAGAAACTAATAATTTGCGGTAGATGCTCATGACAACTTTTGCATAGCCAAATTGCTCAGTTCTCAATTCCTTGTAACACCTTTGCTCCAGATAACTTGTGATCTGATAATAAAAAAATGCAGAAATTGAGCAAACATGTAAGTTTGAAATTCTTATTTTGAAATTAAATACATGGAAAATACTCTCCTTAATTTGTCAACTTAATTTAGGACTGAAGCAACGTGAAATTTTTGTGTGGAAAGAGAATATTTTAGCTAAAATATGCTGCAGACGGAATCACCGGCAGTGACTGCTTGATGCCTAACGCTGTTGGCCATTAGCAGGGAGCTGGGGATACTACAATATAAAGCATAATATGGCTAATCTTTTTCTCAAATTAGTTTATCTAGAGAACCACAAGAGGTTAAATCTTTCTATATATGCTATTAAATATTAAGAAAAAATTCCTCATCATATGCTTATGTATACAAGTGCCTGTGTTTTGGGCTATGATTTGCATGGCAATTTTGCTAAGCAAATATTAGCATGTCCAAACGTATTTTACTAGATGTTACTTTACTGTCTTACATGTAAAAATTAGTGCGATAGACACACATATCCATGAGTGTAAACCTTTGTTCACCTTACAATATAAATTATGTCTTACCTTTCTAGATGTTACTTTACCGAAAGTTTTCAAGTTGTGAATAATGACCCAATACGTACACTTAAGTAAATTAGACATACATATATCTTAAAGTACCTTATGTTTGGACCTTACATGATAACCACCTCTTTTTAGCCCAATCAATGAAATACGTAATACGAAAAAGGGTTAGAGAAGAACATCAATAGATCATACTTAATAACATGTTTCATCTCTCTCCAATTTTCAAGAAAAAAAATTATGGTAATCAAAACCCAAAATATTAAATAGTTCAGAGGAAAAATAGGATATCTACGAAAAGGTACAAAATGACTAACTTTTCTATTATAAATAATCGTTTAAGTAGGAAAAATAGGATATCTACGAAAAGGTACAAAATGACTAACTTTTCTATTATAAATAATCGTTTAAGTTAACATATGGTCTCAAGTTATTAAGTTAGAGAGTTGGATATTACCTTTGGAATGCGCAGTGGGTTTTTAGAAGCATATTCACATAACTTGCTGATCTTTCTAACATCTGCTTCTTCTTCCTGTAAAATAAAAAGTTAAATATAACCAGCTTCCATATTGCAGGACTAAAGAACAATGACATTATGCTCAAAATCTCGTAGGGTGAGTTTGAACATCTAGTTGAGCAAAATAAAACTTAAAATCATCAATTTATCACGTATATATTTCCATCACAGTATGAAATAAAGTGAACTAAAATAACACCATCATACATTTGAAAGGAAACAAGAAAAAAGAAAAAAAAAACTGATCATGATGTTCGAGACAAAGATGTTCAAATAAAAAAATGAAAATATATGCTAATTCTTTCTAGGGTTTTTGCTTATATACTCCCAAACCAACCATGTGTGTAGACTTATTACCCCTATTAATCAAGATATTTGCTAAAATTTTAATGCACAGTTCTACACCTTGAGTTGAAATACCCCGAAAACTCGTATTAAACAATATTACCAATTTGAGAACTCCCCCTTCCACTGTTCAGATACTAAGGGCATAAGTTCGGGCTCTTTTAACTCAATTGAGGGGTCTAGTAGCAAATATCTCGATTTGGAGGACAAATTTGCAAATGCGGTCGATCTGGGGGGCCTACGTAGGTTAACATTATAATCTTGTATAGAGCCTCCACTGCTAAATTAAAACCCTAATTTCAGCAAAACAACAGCTACGGAAAATGAGATGCACCTGCGTTTTGGGGAAAATATCGGACAAAATCTTCTTGTATCGCTTCACGGGGTGCCGAGATCTCGTCTGCAGCGACGGGCAGAAGAAGCAGAAGACCTCGCAGACCGGCATTATAGCCCTCGACGCCATCCCCAATTCCTCAAATCAAGCCCAGGATCGACAAATTTTTTGACATGGTCGATTTCCGTGCGGAATCAATCTGCGTCCAGAACCGCGATCCTTAACGCGATCTAGAGAAATGCTGGTCGAATTTTGGAATCTTTTTCTCCTGTGGATTTGGGGATGAAGGAGAGGAAGGACATGGAAAGTCGAGTTTTTTTTTTCTTTTCCTCCTTTGAATTTTTCTCCGATCGGCTTTTTCCATTGAAGCGCGCCTATTTTGGAGGGAGAATTTTTTTTCCCTTTTTTTTTTGCCCAAAGAGGTTTGCTTCGGAGCTCCAAAAATAGGCTTTTTTTTATTTTTAAATTGATAAAAATAACAAATGAGCTAAAATAAGAAACTGTATTTTTAGTCTTTCAAAATTCTCTTCTAATTTCTTTCTATCCTAAACACAACCACTCTGTTGCTTTTTTCCTTTCTCATCACATGACATAATTAATTTAGAGTCTTTTAATCACCATCCAATGTCTTTATAGAGGCAAAGAACAATGAGCATAGCATAATGTTCTATATAATTAAAAAAAATAAAAGGAAAAAGATGGGGATACCTTTCATAGCGCCTCTTCACGAGAAATTTTGGAGAATAGGATGCGTCGTTGCCTTTTATAAACAATATATAAAAGGTAATTAATCAAGAGGACAAATAAGACTAGCAAAAATTAGCTAAATTTCCTTCAGCAATGAATCTGTGGATACTAGTGAATGTAAGCAATTAACTAATTTCCTTCAGCAATCAAAATTAGAAGTTCTAGTTGAAAGCACATGAGCAAAACCACGGTAGAGGATTATGCTAAATTGAAATTAGTTAGTTGAAGAATTGTAACTAATCAACAATTCAGTTTCTCTCCTAAATTGTATTTCCTAAAGTAACCTTTTAACCTATAGTTAATTACAATTTTCGGTGTGGAACATCTCCTAACTACCAAATCTATCTATCTAGAAATGTGAGAGCTATTTTTAAGGAATATATTTACAGATATGCCATTGGTGCTCCAACAATTTTTCACGGAGCACCGAACCTGTAGGCAAATAACAAATGAAGGTAAAAATGACCACGTATTTAACCTGATCTGTATTTGATTCGAAGTTTCCTATTTGGATCACAAGTTATTGAATAAATAGGTATCAATTTTAGATTTAATGAATATTTTTTTGAAATGATTATTAGCTAAGGAGACAAGTAAATTATATTAGATCCTAATATAAGACAAGTAATTATATTTAGATCATATTTTTTTTCCTACTTCGATCAGATACGTTGATGATTTTTTTCCCATCGAACTTAAAAATATTTGATGTGATCTATTTTCGCAGCAAAACAAAAAAGATCCGTCGCCTCGTAATTTTCTTAATCCAATTGGAGAAAAAAAAACAGTCTGAATAAAAAAAATACAACAAGAAACACGATCGGCCGCTCGCGACGAGAAATCTCTGCGACGACAGCTTCATAAATAAATAAAAAAAAAAAAGGCGGCTGTTATCTAATCAGAGCTCCTGGTAGCGGACTTGACAGACTCCCAGACGCTGACGATGTGGGGCCAGGCCCCGCGAGCGGCGCCGACGATCGCGCCGGATGCGACGCTGATGGCGACCACTGGGCGAACCGCGGCTTGGAGTCGAGCTTGGCGTCTAGCGAGGGCGGCGAGCGGGCGTTGAGGCCGTCGAGCTTGCCGGGCGATCCGGCGGGGTCGTCGCGCTTCCTGGACGCGGGCGGCGGCGGAGGAGGAGCGGAGGAGGAGGAGGCGACTGGAGGTCGGAGATGGCTTTCAGGGACGCGGACTTGGGGTCCAGGCCTTGGATTCGTAGTGGGCCAGGACCTCCTCTGGGCTCGGAGGACGGGGCCTCGGCTTGGGTGGGCTTGGAGGGTGATGCCGCCGGGGGTGGTTTTGCGTGAGGGGCTGCTCCATTTCTCTTTGGATAGGGAGCGGGCGCGGATTTGGAGCTAGGGTTTTAGATGGGTTTTAATTAATGGTGGGCAAAGGGCCCTCGTGGCCCGAAGGGAAAAGGATAGGGTCGTGCTTTTGGGGGCAAAAAAAATAAATGGGCGAGGCCCACTAAGCTGGCCCGATAGAAGAAAAGCCGCTTGTTGCCCGTGGAAGAGTGGATGTGGGAAGCCCACGGGGATTATGGAGGCTAAAATGTGGACCACCAAAGCGTGTTGAGATGAAGGGGCGGATCTACATTGGTCATGGGCATGCAATTTCGCCCCTGACAATTTGAAATTTACATTTTTAATCTTTCCAAAATTGCACTTTGCACCGTATAGCTTTTTAAATCCTTTTGCACCCTGGTTTGCATCGAGTATTCCGTTTGTATTTTACTTGCGTAACCACTAGACACGTCACTTGTCTTCAGCTCCTCTGAGAAATCCTTTTTGGATCTACCACTGTTGATATCGCTCTTGTATGTGTTTGTGCGTGTGCTTTTTATGTATGGGGATATGGAACGAGGGATTTCAGCCTCGGTTAAAAAAAAAGAAAGTCTAAATAAATAAGCTAGAAATAGATAAAAGGAGATTAGACTCGTCCACTTTCATGCGACTAGTGCGATGTTAAATTATGATATTAAATGCACAAGCATATGAGCTTACTACGTGGATAATGTAAATGGAATTTGGATCCTCTCCACTACTTTTAATCTCAGTCGTTGATTACTCGGTAAACGGTTGTGATACGATCTAAATCTAACACTCACCGTACCCCCCGTGTATTACACTCATTCCTAATTTGCACTCAGATAAAAAATCACAACCATCAACTAGATAATAAATGGTTGTGATCATGGAGTGGCACATCCACAACTTCTTAGACAGTAGAGATCGAGGATCCGAATCCATGTACATGACGGGCTTCTCAGAAAAGAAGGAAACAATTTAACACAGTGATCATCACCCCTCTTCCAGTTTTCGGATGCACTTTATTATTAGGGGCTGTTTGGTTGCACACTTTTTGAGAAAACTTTTCTCAAAACATCTGACAATGGCAAATTTGTAATTAAAATTTTTCCAGAGATTTCTGTAAATTGTGTTTGGTTCAACAAAAAATTTACAGAAATATTTTCTATAAAATATCAAAACCTACCAAATTTTACAAAAAGCAATTTCCTCTCAAAATAAGAGGAAATCACCAGAAATCTGACACATACCATATTTAATTAAGAACCTACCAAATCTTGTTATTTTTTATAAAGTTATGAGCTATTTTCTTGTTTTGAACCAAACAAGCAAAGTAAAAAAAAACAAGAAAATTGGTACTTTTTTATTTCTCAAAACTTTTCCTATAATTTTTTTAAGAAATACAAGGAAATCATATTTTAGGTGGAAAACATTTCCTATAATTTCTAGAAATTGAACCAAACACCCCCTTATCGTAAAGGAAAAAAAGATCACAATATACTAACAGACCCACGTATATTCTCGCCGATTCATCGAATATCTTTTGGTTGAAGTTCACGCGTTCAGAGCTCGCCGTCACCGCAATCTGGGTACGTCACGCACTTGAACACCTTACATTTGGAGCACAAAACATATCCTACCTGCAAAAAAAAAATATAGTTTGAAAAAAAAAAACCCAAATGAAATTTTTCAGGGGCTGGAACTGCAATTTTAGGGGGGCTTACGGCTTTGCAATTCGGGCACCGGCGATAAATCCTGTTACTGGCCTCGGACCTCACATTGGTCTTCTGACCCTCGCAGAAGTCACAAAGCAACCATCCTCTGCCGTTACAAGGCTCGCACATGATTCCTGCATCCTTAAAAACCCCAAAAATATTTTATGCACGGGGGTTAGATTAATGGATTCAAGATTTTGCAGGGTTATATATATATACGGATTGCATTCAAGATTTTTCTCACACGGCCGAGACATATACATCAATGCGGTATAATTAAAGTCCGAACCGGGACGAAAAATGAATACCGTGATCGAGACCGACGCTGATACTGACCTCCTCTCGCTCGCCGAAGTTGTTCGTTTCTTGGTGCGTATCAGGATTCAGTTGAGCTGACGCGCGGTTCACAGATACCAGCATATTAG